GCCAATATCTGAAAATAATATTATTTTAGAGAGCGAGAAATCGTAGCAATTAGTATAAGCTATCAGTGGGTTATACATATATTACAAATCAATAAAAGTTATCGTTTTATCGAATATAACAAGGAAAATTGCTCGTATGTGCCTTGAATTTTGAATCCTTGGGTTGTCACGCGTTATTAGTCGCGCCTCTGGCCAACAATCAATATCTCATTACTTTCAATTTACTGCGAACTATTGCACGCCTATATCACCAAAATTGCGATAATAAATTTCATTAATTAGTTGAGCTTCATAGAATATTTTCTAATTAATTTTAATAACTATTTTTAATATGTGATTTATGTATTGTATAATTTTAAATATAAATTTTCAGTATAACATCTAAGGAATAAATCAATTGTTTAAATATTGTAGAGTAACACTTGATACTAAATAAAATTAAACAGGGCAATGTAAATTAATTAAAGAGACTATTTTATAAATTAATAAGACACGAAGATTATAACTAATTGGTAATATTTCGATTTCAAAATATATTTTGAGCAAGTGTGACACAAATTTCACAACATTATCAGAATACAATTATTGTAATTTGATAAAAAATGTAAAAATAATAAAATAACGAGAAGTAATTAACAAACTGGACAATAGTAAAATATTTTTTGGAGCAATTATTTTTTGCGTACATTAACTGATATAATTTATTTCAATTTGTTAGAATTAAAAGAGGAAGCAGACAGAGACGGAGACAGTGGGGGGAGAGGGAGAGAGAGAGCATTTACACATAAAGCAATAGTTTGAAATATCGACTAAGTGGCGAGAGCTCGTTGCGTGTACGTTTATATGTGTACAGTTGATTGTCGGAGTCACATCACACGTTATCCCGCCGATGCATGCATACTAATTAATTCTAGCTGCAGCTTCCTAAGTGACGACCCAATTTTGCACGATTGCGCGAATGCAGGAGGGTTCTGGAGTAAACTGCGTTCCGACGAGTTTGGTGCGATTCTTGCGCCGGGAATTGGGATTTAGCGGATGTACCTAACGTGATTAGCCGATCGACGCGTTTCACGCGCGATACCGCTCGCATCGGACAGACTTTGATCCGATAATCCGCTTATTTTGCAAAAGGCTGGCAATTTAGTAGCGAAATGTGCGGGGAAACACGTGCAGGTCGGAGTATGATGCATCACCGGAGCCGCTGAAATTTTGTCATGAATACTCGGTGTCTTTTGTACATGAAGATTGATATCGGAGGAAGATTTGAGGAAGATATTTCATTTCTTCAATTTATGGCATCAACAACCGTACCTATAAATTGGATGAATTTATTTATAAGTTCCCTATAGAAGAGAAACGTGGTATAACTTTATGCTTAAAATAATCCATAAAAGACTACTTCAAATATAAGATCAAATTTTTGTCGAACAAATTAAATGGCTATCACGCTCGAAGAGAAGATATTATAACATAACGTACAAATCAATAATCTTATGGAGAAACTGTATTGACTTGTACGTTATGATTTAAGTTTATAAAGATTAGATTTTAAAAACTAATTGGAGTATCATGAGTTCATTACGTATAATTATGCAGAAAAATTGTATAGAATTACGTTATAGAATAATATTTTCTTGAAATATTAACAGTGTTTAATCTCTTTTAAACATTTTAATTTCTTTGGAACAGTTGTGAACTTGATTATGCAGCCGCTATAAAGATATAAAACATTTCAATGCCTTTGACATTCTAATGAACTCATGATACAAAGAATCTTGCATTCAATAGCATTATTTACGCCATGCTGATGTACGTTGCACAACATAAGAATATTATTAACGTCCGAGATTCAATATTCTCTGTGAAAAGCACGTATTATCTGCTTGACGCGATTTTTCATCAACTATTTTTCATTATGCAACTAAAAAATATAAATTTTTTTTATATTTAAATTTAAAACTGCATGTTTTCTTCCACATTCGTGCATTACAATACTATTCTCCCTTATCAACTTGTCAGCGCAATTTTACACAAGAAATACAAAGTTCGCCTATTCGAGATCTCCAATTAATTATTTCTAGCACAGTGAAACGGAAGGCTGTCACCGTCAAAATGAGATAAACAGAAACATGAGATCTTGTTATTCCGAAATCTACCAGAGATGATTCGCGTTGACATACAAACGGAGGATATAATTAGAAACGGGACGAAGTTGCGATACCGCGCGATGGATTGGAATCTTTGGAGTGGCAAAGTGTCGAGATGATTGTCTTTAAAAGAAATAATTAAAATCGTGACTGGCGCACGCGAATTGCTAGAATCGAGGCGGCCGCGCGTGTTGGTGTAACAAAGTTTCGTGTCCCGCCGCGCCGGTTGTAGGACAGCAAATGAAATTTTAGCGTAGCTTTCATTACGTGACGAGCTAGGTGCTGGATTAATAGCGTTTCAATTATAGCTGCGACTAAGATAAGCGCAGATAAATGCGTCACAATAAATGTAGAACTCGAATACAGAAATAGTAATCTCGTTTATTCAAAAGGTATTTAAATGTATGTCGATATTTCCTTTCAGACGTGCATTATTTCGACTAATTTATATGTATATATATTTTTTTTAAACGTTGTAAAAATAATTCAGACTTTGCTCGTCACTCGATGCGTGACTCCACCTCTATAAACAAATAAACCATTTTGCATGCCTGCCGGGTCCGGCCTTCCGCTCCTTGTGCGCTCATTCGACCAGACGTTTTTATCAATTACACGATAACTATTGCTAATTTTGCAAAACGGTACATGATTTTTCTTCTCAGTTCAACTCAATCTACCGTAATTTTTAGTTTGGCTACTAACGAGTCTGACACCCTGTGTATTTTCAGTAAAATATTAAACTATGTGAAAAATAAATATTCATAAACACTTATTATTAAGTGGTATTATCTCTAAACTGTAACCGCATTATAGTTGCATAAAAAAGATTCGAGACTTTCTAAAACTAATACTTGGGAATATTAGAACAATATTTTATCAAAGTAGAGGCTGTAAAGTACCGTCCCGGTGCGGATCATAATATATTATGAATAGCCTGTGCAAAGTATAAAAGCTTTATCAGCCATTCAGGAAAAAAGTCTATCTTGACGGCAAGCTCATCCTCCACAAATGGCGAATTTACTGAAGCGGATGGATGATAAATTCTTGCCTGTGTCGAGACGTCGTGGTTCTCACAACGCAAGCGTTTCAAACTTTAATGAGGTGACGAAAGAATTTCCTGGATGAAACGGTTCGCTGAACAAAGATGGATTCGTGTCGCAAGAGGAATGCCGAAAGGTGGAGTTAAACTTCGCCGGCATTTCTGACGAAATTCCCATCAAACTTGTAAAACTCGATACCGCTGTTAAAACTTACAAACGCAGTAAAAAGTCTCCTACGAATATTTAATGATGCGTTACGATGGCAATAAAAGTATGCAGAAAAGAGAGTGTGCAGAAATCTGAAACTTTCTGCGTTACACTTATTTTTTATAATTAAAAAATAATTTACATAACAAGAGACTACGACAATTAAATCAATAGCAAGTGTATTAATAAATATTAATAAATTTGAATAATAATAAAGGCGAGTAATATTGTTGTTGAAATGTACAATAATGGTAACTAAAAATTCTGTATGATGGTAGAATTCTGTGTGCAATTACGTTTACAATTGTTTGAAAATCATGCAGATTTTCTGATATTTAATTTGGTGCAAAACCTGTATGAATTTCTGGGAAAAGAAAATTTTTCCAATACAATATCTTCCACGGGAAGTTTTACTGCGCACATTAAGGGATGCAATATTAGTTTTATATACCACAAAGCGCCACGCAGTAGTCTCTTAGCTGCTACTGCGTACGTGACAATTGTGCTGCCGTTTCTGCCGGCGAAGGAAACGGGTGCGTCCTGAAATACCTTGCCGAGCATTTCATAACGCGATTATGAGCCATCCAAGTCTGACAATTTCTAGAAAGCATCAGCCCGGCAGAGCATGCCTCCGCTCGCTGGATGGGAGATTCAACCAGCGAGACTTAATGGAAACCTCCACTGACGCATTAATTTATTATCAGAGATGATCCGGCGCCGCACTGTGAAAACGATAAAGGATACGGATTACGATGAAGTTGTCCCGTCAATTAATAGAGCGGCACTTCGTTTGTGGTTCTTCGGTGAGCAGATTGCAAAAGGAATATCATCGGCGCCGGGCGTAAGAGGAAACTGAAGTTTACCGCAATTCCGCGGCTCAGTGCCGTAAATCCAATGTAACGAAAGAGACGATCACGAAGTTATATATAGCGCGGCCCCTTTGAGCCTTTTCGGCAGCGAGGGTGATAAATTCTACATTTTTACTCGATAACGCTTCTTCGGCTTGAAGCCAGCTCGTGCACAACGAAAAAAACAAAAAACAATTTCCGCCCATTGCGTGTTTTCGTCAGCTCGTTTTTCTAACACAGTTTTTACTTTAGTGAGTTTATTTTTTTATTTTATTTATTGAACACTTCGCATTGTCTAATTCACGAACATCTAATTAAAAAGTTCTTGTGCAATTAATAAAAACGTATTAATCTTTAATATCACAATTTCATTTCTTTCGTATCGAAATAATTTGTTGGTCAAAAAAACTTTTCGTGCAAAATTGTTATTAGCTATAATAGAAAATGCGTATATTTTCTTTCTAACTTAATCTTTATACTAGAAATTCTTTCTGTTTGTTGCAAACATGTGGAAATATAATATCTCGTTGCATTAATGACATCGCGATGAAATTCTGTTTCAGTCAACGAAGGTGGCGTCAAGATTCTAATCTTGGTTTGGCGCTTTAGTTTAATTATTCGTTCGTCTTTATGTATTTATTTGCGAACGCTCGGAGCTGCATTGTGAATGGTCGTATTTTGCGTCGCGACTAGCAATAGCTTTTCGGAAGGTAAAGTTTCGTGGCTGGTAAAGTGCATGCGAGATGATTTGAGCTTACCTCCTCCCAAACAAGCTGCTTGCTAACTCCCGGTCGAAGGTTCATAATTTTCAACTCAGCCGCCTTTAACACGCCGTCTTGAGTAAACTCTACGTTCGGCTTTCCTTGATCAGCCTCGACGGAAACGTTCTTCAAATATCTGAATAAGAGAAAGAGATATAACGCCTTATCATGCATGAAGCAAGAGCTGTAAGTATTTTGTAAAAATTATACTTAAAGCCATTATACAGACATCATCTATAACTTTTATGATATTGAAGTATTAATATGTATATGAAGTAGCATTAAAATATTAAATTGCGATACATAAACAAGATTATAATATTAAATTACTAAATACAATGCACGAGTTCGAATCGTTTAGTAAAATTAACATTTTCATTTTGTAATATTATACGAAACAAATAAAATGTATTATTCTCTACTGATATGAGGAATATGATTCTCGAACAGTTTACAAAATTCTGTTAATTTATTGCAAAGTTTGTAACAATTGTCTGTAACATCAATCGAAGAAAATTTCAATCAGAAAATTCCGCGTGAATGGTGCATAAACAAATCTATTCACATTTTAATAAATTACATAAAATTACTTGAAAAATAGATCCCCCGTGCTCCACCGTGATTCACCGACGCCTTCGCAGCTCAGTTGAGTGTTCAGGCTGCGATTCACATTTTTCGGATCATTGATGAAGTCTTCGACACCGTAAGCATAGACCTTGATTGCCGTTGTGATTTCGTTTACCAAGCTTTCACCGCTCGTATCGAAATGTACACCTGCAGCAGCAAAAAGATATCGGACGGACTCGTTAATGCGATTTTATTACCAGCGAGATTTAGATGAATTTGCACGACGACCAGCTCAGCTCTACAAGTATAAAGAAGGAGATTTTTCCATTTTTTCCCCTGTCGATTATAATCGGATGAAAACGGGTGGACAACTGAACGAGAAATTGAAACTAATTTATGAGACACGGGTTTTAATTCTCAATATAGAGCTTTTATTTAAACTGTTTGATAATCTTTTGAGAGCTTGCGATTTACAGAAACTGTATTTTTTAAGTATCTGGTCTTTACGTTGCTCTGATTTTCTTTTTGTTAATTTTTTAACAAGTTCGTGATTCTGTTTATACTGAAAGCTGCTTAAGAAAAATATAACTTTAAATATCAAATATTTATTTGTGCCTCGGTTAAGAAGTTAATGAAAAATGAATTCTCTGTAGATATAACTTAATAAAAAGTAAAAAGATAAAAGCAACAAAACAATACCAATTTTACGATAATTTTTATAATAAATTTTCTCTCTGGTTATAACTTTGGCTGTTGATTATATTTCACATAAGTTTAACAATATTTGCAGGTTATTTCTTTTTTATATGAAGAATATATCTTTTTTTCACAAAGAATTTTTACGGAGAACTTGCACCTTACAGAATTTTATTCAACCAGATTTTTATGCGACACACTGCGCCAACTACATTTCCATAAATATCAAAAGTGTGAGCAGGACACGAACGAGAGAGAGAGGAAGAGAGAGAAAAATGAAGATAAATCGATGTATCGCAAGGCCGAGAAACGTTGGCGATTCATGCAAGAATCACCGATTTGTCTTGTTCTTTTTGTTCGGCAGAAGTTGGCCTGTGAAAATCACAAGTCAACAAAATTGTCCTGTATTGTATACGAGTGTTTTAAAATAAACTATCCTTTGAAAATTTAGTGAAACACTTGTACAGAGAAATTTTAAATTCCACGCGACCGTCCTCAGAAATTTTGCAGAGCTGCAAATAGCACATAACATCTTTTTGATGAAATATGTAAAATTGTTACTTTTTTTCGTATTAGCTAAAATAAATGTGGATTCATACGAATGGTTGAATATGCACTCCTGCAGCACCGGGAGAGAGAGCTAGAGAATATTAAATATAAGCAACGTTTACTTTGCTCGATTCATAGCAATCGTGTTTAAGAACACGGGGTGTTTGCGTACTACATAGAGGGAGTTTATCGCGCTAGTTTTAGCTCGCAGAAATTCAGACGCAAGAGATTCAATCCGAGTTATGTTATTCCACGTGGTTCACTGGGAGGAATTCGACGAATTTATTTTTCCCTCAAGGATATTCTTGGAACATTCTCAAGGAAGGAATCAATTTTCTGTTTCCGCGATTCTGGTCACGGTGTGAATAACTTTCCCGTCTACCCGCCTGAAAGGCATGCATTCTTATCGATAAAAGACGTATTCTGAGTGTTAACGTATGTAACTGACGTAAATATAGCACCCGTTTTACCGCGGTGCCTAGCATATTCGACGGTTACATACATACACCTATATTTCCAACGCATATGTACATTAATAATTAATCAGAATTGTTTTTCTTTTACTACATGCATATGTACGTACTTGTATCGTGTCTTACTTAAGGAACAATTATTTTAAAACTTTGATATAATAAATAAACCTAATTGTTTAATCTTTGGAATATGTTTTAATGTACTGTTATTATTAATTAATTATAAGACGAGAAAGAAACTTACAAAAACTTAATTTCTTAAGTATGAAAATGTCCCAGCAAAATTGAATCAAAACTACACATATAAAAATTGTAAATATAATTAAAATATACCACAATTGTTTAATTAATTTCCGTATCTGCATGTTTTAACGCGCGGATCACAGTTCTCGCATAATTTGGCTGAAGACTCGCACACACGGATCTTCCTGGGGTATTCCAAACTTATGTGATTTTGCAGATCCACTAGCCGCAAATACGTGGTTGCGATAAATTTTGCCACTCACCTAACATTCCGACCGGGAACTGACTGGGGGTTTGTAGATTCTCAATAACGCTCTGCGTGACGACCCACACGTAATTTTCACCGGTAATTTTGTAATCCCTGGCAGCGTTCAGGATAGAAGCAGCCTCCTCTCTGGTCGAGTACAGTAGCATCACTCGAGATTCACTGTTGACTAGCTCCATCAGATCATGTGGTTCCGTAACCAGAATAGCGTTCAGTATGGTGAACTTGAATGTGTCCTGCATGTCGGAGATTCTCTCTCTGACCGCCTGTATGAAGTCGTCGTGACCAGCTATTTGCGAGGTGACTACGCTAAACTGATGCCACTTGTACCTCTCCAGGATACTCAGCATCGCCGCGGTCTGATGTTCCAGCGACGGTGCCAGTTGCAGCTGTAGGTTGCTCTGCGACGCCCGCTGCAAACCAACGGAATCTCCGTTATGTTTCACGAATGTTGGCGAAAATACGCCAACTGTATAACTTCATTTCACTTAAATTTCAGTTTTACATTACACAAAAATCTTTCGATGTCTATACATAGAGAAAGAAGGAGCAAATGCTGTGAACTTGCTTCATTGCAAACCGCACGATTTACCTCATATATTTTAATATAACTCGAGAAATTCTTTGATGCTAATGAAAAATTCACCCGCGAGCAAATATTGTTTGCCCGCTCGGTAGAAACATTAACTCGTAAATTCTTTCGTACTTTTTCATTTCTGTTATATCAACTTACTCGCTCCAGTCCGGAATTATCGGCATTCCATGCGATCACAGGAATTCCTAAGTAACCGGCCAATTGAAGAAAATATTGAGCGCTGGCCGTACTACGTCCGTATTGCTCGTAGTTCATAAGGTATAAGATGGCCGATACGTTCAGCGAAAGAAACTCCTTGCAAAGTGAGTCCAGGATAGCTGAAACACAAAAATTACTCGATAATTAATAATTCGAATAAATAAATATTCCAAGTGTTGACCTTATTTAAAGAAAAATTTAAAAAATCTTTAATTCCTATTAATATTTGCATAGCGCTGCTTGACGTAATACACATTAATGGTTTCCAATAATTCGAAACCTACAGAACGATAACAAATGAGTGGAAATAACAATCGTTTATTTCAGTTCATTATGTTCTCTTTCCAATTTGTCTTTACTTTTAGAATTTTACCGAACGATTGGATTAGCAATCTAATCGAATAAATATTGGCGGACGATTGGCGTCATACTTTGCAAATTACGACAATCGAGTTAGATCAAGCGGATCTTCATTTCATCAGAGCAATTTATAAGCGCATCTACATACCGAATGCACTATCATTTAGCCGCAGGAATAAAGCGGGACGTGTAGCTTCAACTTTTTGCGACGACCATCCCAGTTACGCCGCGCGTTATTCTTTCCCGCTGAATTTATCTCCGCGCCTTTATCACACGCACACCCATTTTTCGAAAAGCGAGAAGCAAAACGACGACGGAACGGCGGCCACGAATGTAGGTTCAACCTATCTCACGCAGCGACACGCTTAACCGACTGACCTCGTTTTCGTTCTGCCCTTATTATTTCGAAATACAGAGTAATTGCAAGTTTTAGTTTAACTGATTTTTATTTCATGCGATATTTCTTCCATTTGGCTTATCCGATCCAATTTAATAAACAGCACGAGGACTGTAACATAGAACTGGACTAGTTGTGTTGGTCTTACAATTGATCGAACAGTAGATCAAAATTAATAATCCATATATTTTAGATAAACTTGTATATTTACCGGCGGCTTGAAATTGTTTCGCATTCATGGAAATCGTATGTGTAACTGTGTAACTTGATAACTGCATTAATTCAAAAATATTCTCTGGCTCGTAAAACACTCTTATGATATAATGTTTCGTGAAATACAAGTGTTCCATTGTTCAGTCAAGTACAGAGAAGATTGATCGTCATAAAAGGGTTTTATCCCATGGTCTTACGCTATATGATCTCTTCAACGACCACTTCTAATTTTAAAACATCTTGTACAGTAGTTGTAATTTGAATATGACAGATTTTTAGATGCCATTAAAAAATATGTATGTATATTTGACACACGCGTTTTTTCCCAATCTTCATTTTGTTGAATTTAATGAAGGTTGAAATAGATTTCATCCTGTTAAAAGTTATAAATATTTCAACAAAAGAACCAACATTTTCTTCTCTATGTGTGAATAACTATTTTATATTTATGAAACTGTATTCATATAAAACGCATTTTTCTTGTTGATTTTTGACAATAGCCTACTTAATATATGTATATATTATATTTGCTTGTGAAATATTAATTTAATTTTCTGTGTTAATTTTATTTACTATCTTAAAATAATTTAAGAGTTTCATGTAATTGCACACTATTTAAAAATAAACTAGATGTAAAATATAATTCATACTTTGACAAATTTAAGAATACACTGCGCTAATACGATTCACTTTCATTGTATCTATAGATCGCTTTATTTATTTGGTATAATTGTGGAACTACGTGCAAATAACTTATTAAAATATGTAACTATTGCATTTATCATAAAATGATTGATATAATTCATTCAACCTACATGATTGGCTGCGTTCATCTTTTATCTATTTCTCTTGAAATTTTAATGAAAAATTTGATTAAAATCCGAGAGGAAATCAATCCAGTCAGTTGAGAACAATTGAAATATACGAATGGTAATCATATGCCTTTGATACCCACGTCATGAAAATACGTGGGTAATTAATTTGATTCGTAATATGACTACATTATCAAGTAATATTATTTTAACGTAACACCAGTTGTGTATACACATATAGTATTACCACGAAAGTCATAATCACAGTTAACACAATAAAACAATATTTATATAACATTTTGCACATTTACTTAAAAGAAAAATTACAGAAACGATCAACGTAATCGGAAAAATTAACCATCGGACACACTATTTAATTGGTTTATCCAATGAACATTTTTCTCAGTGTAGGAAATGATTGCGTTGCGAGAAACCGCGCGGAAACAAACCCGTATACTGTGCACCCTGCTCTCTAAAAGTCAATCAGTGGATTATCCCTGGAAATAGTGAATAGCCACTGATTTTCAGTTATAAGTATACCACTGTAATTTTCAGTAGTATACTTATAACTGCAAATCAGTGGCTATTCAATGTTTCCAATGACACTTCGCCAATTGATTTTTAGAGAGTGCACAAATGCTTTATGGACCGACAGTCCGAGGTGCAGAAGGTGCAGAAAGTCTTAAGGAAATCGACAGTTTTCCTGCACCTTTCGCACCTTACAAATCTTGGACGGTGTATGCCGGAAAACGTTTGAACAATTTCCAAATTATTTGGTTTCGTTTTAAGGAGTACAATGCCACATTAAAATAAAAAGTAATTTATCGCTCACTGATACGATTTGCAACACCAGAGTTGTGCATCGCTGACTACATATGTTAAATTGTAAAAATACAAATATGTATTATATATGATTATTAGAGACTATTCGAAAGCCATAATAATACACGGATATGGTTGATGTATGTGATTTATGTTACGTGACGAAAGAAACCGTAAAACATAATATTCATAGAAAAAATGATGATTCAGAGATATATTCTAACGATCCATAGAAGTTACATATCCCCAGAATATATCCCCAGAATTATATTAAATTAACGGGCCAAGTTTCACCCCTCTTTATATGTACATTACGCTTTGTCCCGAATTAATGAAAACGTAATACCACGAATGTAGTAGCTAAATCTATATCAAGCAACAGCAAGTCGATTAACGTAAATTCCTTTGATCAGGAACTACCTTGACTTCGGAACATAGTATAGTCGAGTGCCCCGTCGACCATGCGTTCGTAATTTGTTGAGATTGAACGTACACATTTCGCTAAGATAAACTTTGGTGTAGTAAAACAGTTAAAACACTCAAGCTTTTTAAGTATTATAATTAAGAGGGAATTTTGTAAGAAATGTAGCGCACAGATTGACCTCTGACAAAATCAATAATGTATTATTTATTAGCCACAACAAAATTGCATAATTATTATTGAGAGATTTTGGTCACGCATTTATTGGTAATCATACATAATAAAAGGTATTTTGCATTTATTGATGAACGTACATAGCAAAAGGTATTTTGCATTATTATGTTTGTCCCGAAATTTATGAATTATGACCGTACTTAAAAGCGATAAATGTCCAGAGTGGGCGACGAACTCGATGAATTAGAGCCGCTTGTTTTAAATTCTCGTCAAGTGTTATTAACGAGCAGATTATTTACGGCCCGTTGGAATTTGGTTTAAATCGATGAATGGGTTATTTACGACTTTGCGTGTTTCGCGAAAATTAATAATTCCTAATGGAATGTTGGATTCTCGCTTGTACAGCAAATGGTATTTAAAATTGAATGCATGGAATTAGCAAATGTGGGGCGCTGCTCGTCTCATCCGACAAGTGCCAAATTAATATCCGGTTTGATTTAATTTTGTAATAGTCGCATATTTATTTTTTTTCACATTATCAAATTATATATCTATTTCTACATAATGCCATTCCATATATTATCGGAATATACCTCGCGATTTAATGTAATCTATTAATTCGCATTGATGCCGACGTAAATCCAGTTAACGTAACGCGTAATTGTATGTGTAATTTATCAAGATTAGCCACCTCTACAGGACTGCGTTTGGCGTTATTCTGATCGCGATATTTTAGAAGATCTTAACACGATTCCGCCAATCCTGAGCCATTAATGTTAGCACATCTACATTGGCGAACTAGAAATCAGTCGCATTTGTTTCGACCAACAATTATAACACCAATAACGACAATCCTGACAAATCGAGGATTCCGCGTTATTGGCCACGAAGATATTTCACCAGTAATTACAATATCGGTAATGATTACGCTACGTAATCGGAGATACTAGCTTGGGAATGTTGCCTTGGCCGCCTGTGGCTTAACGCTCGTATATCGATAGTCAGCTTAACCGCATATTAATTAATCAGCCAATTATTAGCGTGCGGAATAGGCTTCTATAGTTTCACAAGCAACGTTTATGAAAATTATTCTATCGTCCAGAATAATTAAGCAAGTAACTTTGATTTCTTCTCTATAGTCATAAGAACGTGACTGATTATGTCTGACTATATACAGCTTTATTCTACTGAACAATATATTGTGTCTGCTTGGGCAAAACTTTTTATTAACTCAGTTAGCCTGTCGCTAATATCGTGGAACAGGTGCGATACTCTAATACAATAGAAATGTAATTCTTTTTAATTTGCAGCAGATTTGTGTCTGAAGTAAACGTAGAAGAAATTTAGCGCGATCGTGGGGGATGTCAAGAAACAACTGTAAAGAATGTTAAAATAATTTAGCAGTTGGCACTGTCGATGTCACGCAATCATTTCAAGATATATCTGGAAACATTTAATTAGACAGGATTGCTCTACTTTTCCAAAAGCACACATTTGAAAATATTATATTAAAAATATTGCAAGAGCATCACAATTATTTTCTAAGGCGTTTACTTAATATTTTTTCAATTACTGCTTCTAAGCACAAATAATAATTAATTATTCACTTGCCCAAATTGTTTCACGCTGTGAATTCTTGAAAAGAATTCCCAATATGTATATTATTTAGCAAGTTCATAAATGTGGATCTTTTTATTCTCATTATATCATAATATAAAAATTTATACGCAATACGCGGACTAAGTATTTTTTTTAAGTAACATGTTATATCACTGTCAAATTTTATGTTATAAATTGAGCTTGTTAACTGTGTAATTAGGTAATAAAAATATAATATATATATAATGTAAACGTATGATGAAACACTGTACCTGCACACATTACTGTTTAATTATTCCTTCGCGTTTAACTGAACATTTT